CCGGGCCTCGCTGGAGGGGTCCCTTTCCGCGTCGAAGCTGGCGCTTCAGCTCTACCCCGGGGGCCCGGAGCCGCCAGGGAGACGCTGGGCCCGGCCAGGACGAGGTGGCTTTTGGCACCTCTCAACCTTCTGGCCCCAGTGCTGACTGGGGAATAGTCGATTTGACGGTGCAAAGAGCATTCCAGGCGGGGTGGGGATTCTGCGGCGTTTGCCAGCCTCAGGTAGTGCCAGCACCTGCTTCCAGGAATCCCCCTGCAGCTGGCAGTTGTAGTATATGACGTGTCCACTCTGCATGGACACTTCTGCGTTAACAAATATTTACTGCCACTCCCTGCTTGGCTTGGGGCTGGTCTGGCGGGAGGGCGGAGCCGGCCCCCTCTCACCCCCTGGGGGTAAATGGGATGGGGAGTGAGGTTACCCGGTCTGGGCGATAAATAGGATGGGGAGTGAGGTTAACCGGTAAACCCAACTCTGGGCTGCCTCTGCCCCGGAGTCAGTCTTCTCGCATGACAAGGGGAGGGGGCAGTGTGAGGAGAGGGCTCTGGCTCCCCTAAGGACCCAGGTGAGCTAGGGACCCACCCAACTCAAGGAGTATCCCTCCTCCCACGGCTCTCTCAGCAGGAGTCTAGGGTCTCTGTTAGAGGTATGCTGTCCTGCTGCAGGCCCCCACCCCAGCTTTGGGCCCCTCATTCCCTGGGTGGGGGGGCATTTGGGGCACTGGGTTCCAGCCCCCACTGCCACAGGCAAGGAGCATGTGTCCAGGCTTCGAGGACAAGGTGTCTGGTCATGTGTGCAAGAAGGAATGACCACAGACTGGGGCGTGAGGGAAGACCATCTAGGGCATACAGTGAGGGACGACAGGTTCCTTCCCTTGGGTTAAGCGCTGCCTGCCCAGAGACCGGGGGTGGGGGAGGGGGATGGGTGCTGAGCTCAGTGATCCTGTGGGGTTTAGCCCTGGAGGCAAGACAGAGGACAGCAGGATGTCTTAGTCCTTGACCACCCACTGGTCCCCGACCACTGCTGGACCTGTTCCTGGACCCCTTTCTCCCCTGATGTCTGCCAGCTGGACCCAGCAGTGTCCCCTCCCCCTCCTCTGCAGCCAGTATTGTCCCAGGGCCACCTTGGCACCACAGGTTTCCTCCCTGGCAAACCTACATGATGGCCCTGCCTGCCCTCCCCCACGGCCAAGGCGGTGTTACTGAACTGAAGGGGTGACGGGACGAGAGCTCTAAGCAGCAGCCTGGGCGCCCCCCAGGGACCTCTCAGACCCTTTGCCCAGCGCAGACAGCCTGGTAAGCCCTCTTTCCCCTTCCCTGCACCCTCAGGGCTGGAGCCAGGACTGGGAGGGCTCCCAGATCCTGACCATATCCTTCCAGAGGCTGATCCAAGCCCGGACATTGTGCCCTCGAATGTGAGAAGACTGGGGTGGGGGTAAGGGGTGATGGGAGAGAGGGCTGAGACTGGTGTCATGAAGGGAGCAACCTGGCAGTGGCATAGGGGGGATGCTTGGTGCTCAGAGTCCCATGGAAAGCGCATAACTTTCTCCCAGACCCACCTCTCACCCCACCCTGTGTCCCTGGCTGAGAGATTCCTGGGGGAGCATTTTTCCAGGAAAGGAAGGAGGGTGGTGTCTGGGCCCAGATCCCTGGATGGGCCTCCTTCGGCCTGCTGTGGGGAGTTGTCTAGGGTGAGTTGGCTCTTAGGGACGATTTCTGGCTTAACCTGATTTGGACAGGAGCCCCAGAGGCAGAGCTGTCCCTTCAGGCTAGGGACATCATTCCGCCTCACTAGCCTGCATGTGTGCTTCGGTGAAGGTTGCCAACCCCTCTCCCTGGAATTGCCCTGAGCAGCAGAGCCGTGTTTGTGGAGAGCTCATGGGGTAGAGGGTCTGTGATGTTGCCCTCTCAGTCCCCAGGGCTTGCCCAGGTTCTTCAGAGCAGCACTGCCACCCCTAGGGAGCCAGTGAGGCAGGAGATTAGAGAGCCAGTTAGGGTGGACCCAGTCAAATCTCAGGCCCTGATGGGAGCATAGTACACCCCAAGAGTGCTCTGCCAGGAGACAGGTGTCGGCAAGAGCTATGGCTGTGGTACCCCAAGCCATTGGCCACCCATGTGGTGGCCCAGTTGAAGTGAGAGGGAAGCAAGGTCTGGGTGACCCAGCGGTGGGGGTGGGGGAAGGTGGAGGATTGCGGTCAAGGCTGGAACTGGACCTGTCCTGCTTTGGGGCCCTTCTCTACCCATGCAGGAGGAAAAAGGACAACTTAGGATCAATGCGACCTCAGGTGACACTGGGTTTCCTGGTAGCCACTGCAAAAAAGCATGCAGAATGATTCTGGAGCATTCACCAGGAGGAAGGAAGCAGATGGACACTCCATGGAGATTTGGTTTCCCTTGAACTTGCTTGACAGGGACAGGGTGTTAGCCTTCTGCAGGGCCAGGAATCCTTATGGATTGGGTAGGTGGAGGGGGCTCACAGGTACCAGGCTCAGGGTCTGAATTCAAATCCTCTGGACTGCCATTGCTTGGGAGTGTAGCCATAGTCAGGGAAGGGAGCTGCCATAAGAAATTGCCAGGAACTCAGTGGCTTAAAACCACAGAACAGCTCTGCAGGCTAGAAGTCTATTAAGGCATAGGCAGAGTCATGCTCCCTCTGAGGCTCCAGGGGAACAGCATTCCCTCTTCCCTCTTCCTCCTCTGGTGGTTCCTGGCAATCCTTGGCATTCCTTGACTGCAGGTGCCTTACTGCAGTCTCTGCCTCTGTTATCACATGGCCGCCTTCCCTGTGTGTCTGCGTGTCTGTCTTCACATGACCTTCTTGAAAGGACACTAGTTACTAGATTTAGAGCCCACCCTAACCCAGTGTAGCCTCGTCTTAACTAATTACTTGTGTAGAGACTCTATTTTCAAATAAGGTCATGTGAGAAAAAAACAAAACAAAACTCAAACTATGTTTTTCCCCTGCTCTCACTACACAACAATCAGCACAGAAGACTCCTGTGACCAGATGTGTAAGATGTGTGAGGTTTCTCCCTTACATACCCAGAAAACAATCATTTCTGCAGCAGACAGACATCAGCTGAGTGTGCTCCAATTCAATTCACGTCTGACATCATCTACCTGCAGACAGCCTCAGAAACCACAGGCTGAGGGCTCAGTCCCACAAGACCACCACTGCTTACCCACCTGTCACAAGTCCAGGCCTCCTGGGGTTCCCACAGCTCCCTCTTTGGATTCCATTAATCTGCCTGAGCAGCTCACAGAACTCAGGGAAACACATTTACCAGTTTATTACAAAGGATATTTTATTTTATTGTGTCTCAGATGTACTTTATCATCACTTAGAGTCAATAGTAGTCAAAGGATGTTTTAGCTTTTTTTTTTTTAAGAGACAGGGGCTGGGCACAGTGTAATCCCGGCACTTTGGGAAGCTGTGGCAGGAGGACTGCTCGAGCCCAGGAATTCTGCACCAGACTAGACAACATAGCAGGATCTTCTCTCTACAAAAAATTTAAAAATTAGTTGGATTAGTGGTGGCATGTGCCTGTAGTCCCAGGTACCCAGGAGGCTGAGGCAGGAGGACTGCCTGAGCCCTGGAAGTCAAGGCTGCAGTGAGCTGTAATTGTGCCAGTGCACTCCAGCCTGGGTGACAGAATGAGACCCTGACTCAAAAAAAGAAAAAGAAAAAAAAAGCCCTGGCTCTGTTGCCCAGGCTGGAGTGCAGTGGTA